GAGAGGCACCAGTATCCCAGCATCCTGGATGAAATGGTTAAAAAATGGGTAAATGGATGTTTCTTCAGTCTTTCTTCTGGAAGTTTAGGAGACGTTATTTAGAATAAGAGGTTTCTCTTTGCTTCCAGGCTACATTTTCATCAAAAATATCCCAACACTGTCTTTTTAAAATTAGGTTGCACACCTGAGTCTTTTAGTCTCGTGGTTAGAACAGTGAAACACAGACTTAAAATAAGTCTGAAAATGCATTAATCTGAAAGAAAATTAAACGCCCAGCATTTCACACTCTGTTCCTGTTCTGCAGCGAAATACTGTGAAGTTTTAATAGATAGGTTACAGGTCTCCTGGTAATTACAGTGCCATTTCTGTTTTTTTTCCCCCCAAAAGCACTCTTCAAACACACTACAATCATTAAGAGGAAGCCTTTTGATCTCTTGAGCCTATTTCCAGCTTGAAGATCAGAGCAACGATTCTGATGCAGAATCTGAAATCCTCTGCGACAGCAACAGAAATAATTCCCACACTGACAGCAGTGGTGTTGTAACTGTAACACATTGCATTCCTTCATATTGCACATGGCCTGTGGGGTACCGAGGGCTCTGTGTTTGCTTCTCTTGTACAGGCTCTTCTGTCACATGTGAGTTCCTCTCCTCAAAAGGTGAACCGCTGCAGTAAAAGTGACTGTGGCAAAAGAGTCGACATCTTACTAAGGACAGTAAACCTCACTTAAAAGGGCTTAAAATGTGTTTTAAACAGCATTTTGTTTTGCCTGAGGGACCCCTCTGTAAATCCTGCTCTGGAAGTGCCTACACAGTTGACTGTCCTAGTTATTCAATGAAAGTATGTCACCAAATTCACACGTTCTTCACGTCACCATCACTGAGATAGAGAGAAACCGCAAACAATTAGAAACTTGAAACAACCTAAAACTATTCAAAGGAAGTTGGATGAAACCAAGGCAGTGCATATGGGCTTATTTCAAACATCTAAAACACAGAATATACTGTACTCACTTCTTTGAGTAATATGAAAACTGTCACCCTGGTTATCAGATCTGAACTGATAAAGAACAATCTCCTTAAGAGGAAAACCCCTGCACTTTGAATGCTTTAAAGGGAGATTCCCTGGAAAAAGTCAACTCTAGTCAGCTGATGAAACGAACAAACTGTCTTTCTTACCTCTATAAATAGTCTTTGTCACTGAGGTCAGAGATGTATAAAGCCTGCCTTTATGTATTCAGTAGATTACAGCATGTCAACAACAAAACAGGAAGTAGTTTCTTCTTTAAAAGTAGCCACATATAGGGGGATGGGACTGCACAATCATTATAAACAGTGTCCAGACTACTATATAGTAAAGACTAAAGACAAGGGAAATATACTTTCTAAGATTGTTTAACATGATTTCTTGGATTGTGTAACATGTTTAACTGATATATACAGTAAATGTATATTTTTAAAATGGACTCCGAAACCTACAAGTATACTTCAAATTTGTCCATTTACACTGAACATGGCTTCTTTTAAAGTAAACTTAAAAACGTAAGAATTAGAAGATCAACCAAGTCACCTAAGGTAAAAAAAAAACAATGCTTTTTTAGATACTCTCTTGTGACTGTAGGCTATATTCGTACATCTTATGTTAGCATTCAACTATTTTTATGAGACTCCTCCGAGCTCAGTTTATAGATTCCAAAAAATAACATGAGGAACTTCTTTACCCAAAGCATTGCGGACGTACGGAATAAGCTACCCACCTACAGTATGATGTTGAAGCCAGTACCCTACTGTTATCTATTAACTGCCAAACAGGCTAGATAGGCTGAATGGCCTTGTCTGTTTTGGAACTGTCCTTACTGAAGTGTTATGAATTAACAACCTGAGGGGGGAAACAAAATGTCTGAAAAAAGCCACCAAGACCATCTGGCTGCAAGTACAGTAACTACGGCCCCACAAGCCCTCTTCCTTTCTGCCTCGCTGGCAGATCACCAAACAAGACGTGGCTCTAGGATGGTAAAGAGAACTGAAGCAGGTGCGAGCCCCCTCAGGGTCACCGGGGTAATGCCTTACTGCACATAATGGCTGAATCACAACGTCCCCCCCCCACCTGCAAAAAAACCTTGAAGCGGTGCACTTTCTGATTTTTCTTCCAAAACCCTGAGGTGAGAAATGACACTGCGCATTCTCTTTCTACAAATCGAAAGTTTAAAGCTGCCTGGCAACGTGACTGCAGTCCAAGATTAGGGGAATCGGAGCCGACCGTCAGATGAGATGGGGCAGCAGTGCCACCTACCAAAAAACCTGCAGCAGTGGCCACTCTTCAGCACCGGAAAGGAAGCGGGACAACAGCTGAAAAGGGCCTTCCTTTTGACTGTTCACACAAATCACACAGCTCGTTCCAACTGAAAGGCCCACTCTGCCACAGGGCACGGCTGGACCCTGCGCCTTTAGGAGCAGGAGATGCTCTTTTCAGCTTGGCTACAGCTACAGCTTACCGAGAGCATGGCTGCTTATCTATCTGAAGCTTCGACAGCTGGGCTGCGCAACACCCTGCTGCTGGCGAGAGAGAACCGGGAAGGTATGTGGACGAGAGTTTCAAGTAATGACTCCATTCCCCCCCCCCAATGTGAAAGTACGCTTTTTTCACCTTTTGGAGTGACGAGACATCAGGCCCCAAGCTGAAGCTCTGCTCTAGCATCAGCCTGAAATCCAACTTTATTTTCATTCACAGGGTTCACCAGTGACAACCTTAACGTTTTTTTGTCCACTCATTTAATTATGAGCTATAACTACACTGAAAACACTGTGATCTGATGAATTAATTTAAAAAGTTAATAAACAGGGGGCAGCAGGCATGGGTTAGAATTCCAACACCTGTTAAGCACTGGGACTTGAACTGCCTGTGGAGCAAGACACCCAAGTCCAGCTAGCTGAATATATGCTTTTATAATCTACAGGTAAATGTCCTAGAGCTCTAAATAACATGATTCTAATTACTAGATAAAATCTTCTTCGGTTCTGACAGTACACAATATCAGAAAGTTAACATTTGCGGCCTCTTTTCTACATGGTTAGCATTGCTGCGTCACGCAAAGTAAAAAAATAAATAAATTCTCCATTACTACAGGCATCACCATGACAATACGAGTTAAGGGTGGTCTCAAAGGCCAGAAGTGGTAGCCTCATCCAAAGCCCATGGATATGGATTACTTTACAGCTACAGGCACCTTGAATCAGGCACTGCTATTAAAAACAAAAATCGAACATCCTCTCTTTTGTTGTTTTGGACACGACGGGTATAAAATAAAGATGAAGCTCAGTCAACGGTACAAATTTAGCTGGAGAATTATTTAAAAGGTTCTTCCGCGGCACCACAGAAGAAGATGAATTGAAACAGAAGCACAGCCCCGCTCGATAATGAAAGAGCGAAGTAAGGAAGAGAATGTCCTTCCCAGCTTGCTTGCGAGAAGCCTGGCTTTATCGGGGCCTGCTCCTAGGCAGCAGACAAACCGCAGTCAAGACCCTCAGGCCATCTCTCAGGGGAGGGCAGACATCTGCACTTACTGCTCTTTCGTGGGTCGCCAGGCTTCATCGGTGGCGCATTTTTTTTTTTGTTCGAGACCCTCAGGGATTTGAAAGCAACACGTCAACATTCAAGTTCTTTCAAGGCTGTGCTTTAACAACACCTTTTTTCTTTTTTGCGAGGTAAAAGCAACCACACCTCATGAATCACTGTGGGGTACTGTTCAAAGCGGAAGGGGAGGTCTGGTAGTAATCTTGGACTCATTTCAAATGGCGCTGTCACTCCCTTCTCTTCCTAAGCCAACAACATCCATTTTCATTTCTACATACAGTTCATGCACCTACTGTATCCTCACAGTACAAGACATTCCTGCAAGACTGAACACCATCACGACCGCACAGCTTTAATTAAAAACCAGAAGAAAGCTGAAACCGCATCTGAAGGTGAACTTCAATGTATCAGCAACATCAATAGGGTTTGGACCAAAAACAGACAACAGAGTGTTGGTGAGCCAGGATCAAAAGTATAAATCCACAAAGACAACCATTTGCATTTCACAGGTACAATGTTTTAAGAACAAAAACAAGCCATGGCACTAGGGCCCGGGCTGTACAAAACCAGCCCTCCAGCTCTGAATTGTACTCTGCACTTCGCTTGCAATTATCAGATCAGAGTGGTCAGAAAATATCAGCCATTTCTGACTCGGCTGAACATTTTGTCTATTTTAAAAGTCATTTTGTTTTTTGGCTGCTCTTTCAGCTGAAGTCATGAGAAACCTGGTCAGATTTCCTTCACCCGTCAAACACTCGACAGGCTGACATCATCTCCAGGAGCACGCTCCCATCATTCCACTTGGCTCACAAGGGGAGAATACATGCCTGGATACCGTACAGTAAAACAATGTCCAAATGGTGCTAGTGTAAAGAATACGCACTGAATGCATGTGTGTGAAGCAGAACAATAGCTTTGTGTTTGTCTGAGGAGCATGAAATTCCCACATTTACTCTACAGGGAGTCATTCTAAGCTTTCTGTCCAATTCAGCAGTTTTTGCCAAAGCAGAAAACAAGCAGCATCACCTCCCACATTTAAATAAGAGCATTTACTCCTGTGAAAATCAGCATTAGAGCTGCTTGCATGTTCATAAGGACCCAGTATTTCTAGGGTTTTCATTACAATGCAGGATTGATATTGACAGGGTTCATTTACCTCGAACCCTGCCTCTGAGTGAACAGTCAGGGGACTCGTCTCACTGGCAGTAGTGAAAGTTGGACACAGGGGGTCACAACTGGAAACATAAGGGGAATTCATTCAGGGCACAGAACATGAAACACGTCTTTACCCAAAGAGTAGAGGGTGTATGGAACAGGTTTCTCACTCTAGTGGTTAAGGCCCAAACTTTAGGCACATTTCAGAAACAAATGTTTAGAATCATTTAGTTACTGACCTACTAAAAGAAGCAAGAAGGGCAGAATGGTACCTTTGTGTTTGCAGCCTTCATTACGTGCTTGTGTAAATGCAGAACACCAGCACCCTGTGTTCTGTGGCACCACTGCACATCTTGCTCATCTGACACAGGGCATCAGGAGGGAGGAGAGAATACCAAACCGCACAGTCTGTCAAAACAGGATTTAGCAACTAGAGATGACCAGTGCGCAAGCATTTCACAAGCTGTTCCATTCTCGATGTCGAAGGCCGCGATAATCTCATGGGATTCGAATGGTTAAGGGGTTTTCTTGCACTGCCTGCAATAAGAAGGAGCGTAACAGACAAGGTGATACTCTGCTATTCTGGGATTTCATTACATAATACAGCTCAGTTGCCAGGGGCTCTCTTCCCCACACAGGTGCTGACAAACAAGTTTTCCCTCCCCGTGGACGGGATTTTTTTAAAGGTACAGCTGAGCCTGGAGCTCGGCGACCGCGGGAAATCCTGTAAAAAAGAGCAATAGTGTCTCCACTATTATCAGCCTGGCAATCCTTTTTCAAAGAAAAAAAAAGACTGAGAAGTAGCCATTTTACAGACACACACTCAAGTGATGGACAAGAACTAATTTGTAATTGGAATATAAATGGGGTTACGCACCATATAAAATGGGACCCCCTTTTTCATATGTTAACGTTAATTTTATAAAGCACAGAAGAGAGTGCCATCTAGAATATAGCGTGACATCTTTGCGACTCTCGTCTTAAAGAAAGCTCAATTGTATTGGGGTTTAAGATACGGGCGCTCTGAGTTAGAGAAAGCTGGTCAATCCAATATTCTTGAATTGCTAGAATAAAAAGTAACGCCTAGAATGAGAGGGATGAAATAAGATACTGCAGAAACTGCCAGGCTTGCCTTTTCTTTCCCAATCGTCTCTTTTCAAACAATTTTTCATGTCATGCCAGGTGCTCTCTAGCACGTAACATGGTAAATCACAGGACTCACATTTTCATGGGTTTTCTAACCTGAAGAGCTTATTTTCATCACACATATTGCTTAGTTACTATGAGAACGACCCCTCGTGGAACTGCCCCACCGAGTCTTTTGCGTGACAAAATAATCAGTCCACAGCCTTTCCCAATTGGGCAATCTGGATCGTCGGTTCTGAAGAGCAGCCAATTAAGAGAACCACACTGGGGCAATGCAGCATACGGAACAAAGCTATTCTGTGGTTCCTTCAAATAATGCAAATCGATTAAACATTATAGAAAGAAAGTATTGCAGAACTCTCCAAAACTCCACTTCGAGGGGGGAGCAGAATCTCAAAACAATGAAATATACAGGTTCTGGTCAAAGTCCATTTCAACAACTTCCAAAAGACAAACTTCCTTTGTGTAGAACATCACATATTGTATATACTGGTTGTCCTACAAAAAACTCAAACTTTGACAGTAGGTTTCAGAGCTAGCTCCTGATCTAATTCACCTTGGTGATAACAAATATGAATGATCACAAATAAGAATGAATGGAGAAAGATATACCTCACCAAGTTTCTGTTAATGCCGATTTCACCATGGAGCTGGCATGGCATTTGCTCTGACCTTTATTTTAATCACTCCAGCTACACCTGTCTGAAAACAGAAAGAGCGTCTGTCTGCGATGTACATAGAGGCCATTCTGCAGTGAAGAGAGCAAAGCCAGCGCGGGAGAAAGGCAAGGGCCAATGAAAACAGTGCTCAAGCTGACAGCCAATGAACATGTGGGATGTAAGTTCACTGTATAGGCCTTTTGTAACCGCTCTCCTGCTTTTCTGTGTGCGGGGCTCCAGTGATCTCATTATCTCCTATTTTGCTTATTAATATTCCTGTGAGGCACAGCCTGGCCCGTGCTGGCAGACGTAGCAACTGGCAGACAGACGGTGCTTAATCTACTCAACCATCTCTATGCTTCTGTGTAGGAATTTTCCTTTTTGTACCTAAAACATAATTTCAAACTAAAACACGGCTGTATAAAAACAGGTTTTAAAAAATTAGACAGTGTCAGTAACACTATTATGACCTTGCAAGAAAGAAAACCTGCATCCTATTGAACCATAATTGCCTCTATTAGTGCTGATTTCACACAGTGCTTCGCTGTCTGGAATGTATCCCTCCCCCTGCTGAGCAAGGGACTGCTGTACCAGAAGAAAGCGCAGTGGTGTGGAGCTGAAGGTTGCACACCAAGATGGCCGAAGGACATTAGGAAGGTTTCAGTGACAGAAGGTAGGGACAGCCAAAGGGCCACGGTCATGTGAGCTCACACCACATCCTCCTGAAGAGGAACCCAACACCTGTGTGCTCCAGACAATGGAGGTCTGGTAGCCGAGAGCGCCTGCGTCATTCATGTTCAGTGTAACGGTGTGACCCCAGCTCAGCTCCTTCAAGGCAAGGCAACTACACTGCAGAGTATGTAAAAAAAAAAACACCCATTTATCGTTGGCAAAGATGTGTGATCATTAAAACCAAAGCACTCTGTAAGCAAACCAGGGATGAGTTTCTAACGCACTTCTCCACTGATGGATTTTCAAAGAGCGCGGCAAACCAAAGAACCTGTATGGGAAAACAAAATCTCGTGGCCTACACTGCTTGCCCGCGTCGGCAAACATTTTCTTACACAGCCACCTGATCCTGCCAGACCCGCTCGTGACTGCTGGTGAGACGAGGAAGCCCAGGTACTGCTGTCACACCTGACCTGCACAGGAGAGCAGGAATGTGATGGGACGTGCCCCTTAGGTCACACACTTAACCCAAGGATGAAACGGCGCATCTGCTTCCCGAAAACAAAGCTAACGCAATCCTCTAGAGCTGAAGTATCTGGTGACAAGTGCTTCAGAAATACTGTACCTTATAAATTCAAACAATGTTTAGAAATGTTAGGATGAGGCTATTAACCTGCTTCAAGCATTGCTTAGCAAGCACACATTAGACATTTAAGGATTGACAATGACCTCCTCTTGTTTGCTTAACTACTCGGCATCAGTTTGACCTGCAAAAGAAACAAATTACCATCTCCATTTCAAAAGGCATCCACAGGGTTACATCATCCGCATTCAGATGGAATGAACAAAAAGATGCCTAGTGGCCTACCATATACATCTCAGAAGAGACAGTATGACAAGATGTAACACAGCAGTTTAATTTTCTGAAACAACGCAAGAGTTCAAACGCGTAAAAAAAAAAAAAGATGGTGACTGATGTCCAAGAAGCAAAGAATTCCCGTGACCCTCTGGCAGTTCCCCACGGTGAGACCCCTTGGATGGTAACTGAATCTGGTAAGTGACCACATTAATAACTGCGAAGGAGTGAGGTTCAGTAGCACGTGACAATGAACGAAGCTGACTCACCAGTCACAGAGTTATTTGCCTCACAGCTGCAGACAGGCTGTGCTATTATGTTACATATCCAAGTCTTTTTATTTCATTATATTACTGGATGAATGACTGGTGCTATGTGCTGTGGCAGGCGCAGCCTCCAGCACGTTACACAACAGAATGACAGAAAGCTCTCAGCACACATACTCGGTTCAAGAGTGCCGCTGCATTTGCAACCCCTACACAGCAAAGTCCCAAGGAAACTCCCTTTCCATGGGCGAAAAACAGCACCGAGGCTGACTAATTTGAGGCAAACTGATAAAACAAAGATCCGAAAAAGTATCAAATATTCATCTTATCACAGATTCAAACGCATTACAGGTTGTTGTACGACAAAACCAATGTGGCCTTTTGTTATCACAAGCAACCCGACAGGTTTGTCTGTTCACAGCTATGGACACAAAAAGATGTCCCCGTCTGATTGAAGCTCCGTAAGTAAGCAAATATTGCAATTGTCGTTAGGTCTTGAAACACACATAGAACTATTCATCTTAATTCCCTGGAACCCACTGCATGTCACTTTCTGCTTCAAAGAGATATTACTGTTGTGTATATTTACATTTATTAATGTTATGATCAGTTGCTTTAATTGTAAGATGTTAAAGAGCTGAAACGGTTTGATCAGCTGTTTTTTCAGCAGCCATGTCCCCTGCAGAGCAGATCCCAAGCATATTCTGTACAGTACAAATGCATGAGTGATGGGACTTTGCAACACACACGCTAACTATTCTGTTGGTCTGGCGTCCAGTGGTGGACCATAGTGAGAGCATTTTTAATCAACGAAATGCACTGCAAAACTGATATTACTGGACATGTGCTAGCTTGCCATTTGGCGGCACATACCAGGATCCTCTTACAGCATGATGCAGTCATCTCTTCTCAGGACAGCTATTTAATCCCAGTACATCCTGTTTCTCCGCAATGTCAACCTGACATAAGGACACCATGACACAGAGCCGCTCCTGCTTAAATAACCCCTGACCATGGAGTGCTCAAAGGCACAGCAGCAATGGTTATAATACCTACTGAACTCTTTAAATGGCCAGAATTCGATTAAGTGCACAGCAAAATATCAGGCCGGCAGTACTGTGGAGCAGTGGTTAGTGCTCTAATCTGACTAGAGATTCGTGGGTGCTGTTGTACCCCTGAGCAAGGCACTTCACTCAGATTGCTTTAGCAATGTCCTGCTGTCCAAATGACTTCTCTCCAAGTTTTAAAAGCAAAGAAATTGTGCTCAGAATCTGAAAGAAAAAACAAAACACTAACAGTTATTTGCAGCTCTCACCTCCAGGATGGGAGCTGAGAATAGAGCTGGGATTATTCTGCTGCTAAGGAAATGCAATGACGTTTTCTGCAGGAGCAAGACACAGCCAGCACACAGTGTTCAGTCAGGGAAGAGGCCATGTAATAACACAAACCACTCTGATGAACTGCTGCAGCTTAATGATGTTTAATAAAACATTTTCACATGTGTGACTGTCATATTCAACAGCATAGCAGGTGTGCATATTTACTATTGGATGTGCTAAGAATGGTTTAAAAAAATCAATACTACCTCATTCAAATTAAAAGGATGGCATTTTGAAGTACAGAAAAGACATTTGGATCACATATTTCAACCAATTCCATTTACAAAAACGTTGAGAAAATATTAGCACAAATTTACTTACGCAAAACAAATTCATACTCGAATCCTAACTCCTTCCCCTTTTCACCAGCTTCCTTATAATTAACTCACAGATAATGTCAAAAAATACATAACACACTGGACTGTTGGTCTTT